CTTAATTTATTCATCTAGAATCAATAGAATGGAAGAATGTAAAGATATACCGTGAAGGAAGGTTGTGCATGCAGGAGGCAAGATTAGTGAAGGCACAATTTCTGGGGACAAGCCAGTCCCTGTAGAGCTCCCTGCACCTCTCAGCCTGCTTTTCAGACTTTGCACACACTGTTCCCAGAAATCTCAGTGTGGTTAGGACTTACCAAAGGACTTTTTAAAAAGTCATTTTCAACAAAAGCCCAGCCCAGTCCCTGAATAAGAGGGTCTAGTGTGACACTCAGGGAGCAGCCACGCAAGCAGGAGCTGAACAGAGAGGAATTGAGGCGAGGAGGAGCTGTGGGTTCTGAGGTGAGCCTTGGTGAAAAGGAGGCTGCTCAGGCAAGAGTGGAAAATGAAAATGGAGCAGGCATTTCAGGGATGCTGAGAAAAAAGCAAGAAATTGGTGGGATTGACAGCAAGTAGAGGAACATAAGAAGATTTTCACAGTCATTTGAAGATCTTCCAGTTTTCCAAGTATATTTTTCAGAGTTGAACTTCATGTCAACAGACTTCAAGTATATATTTTTGTGGTGTATGCATCAGTAGTGCAGTTAACTATCATTCACTGGTCTTTTGCCCTTGCCCTTACAAACTCAATACACACATGACTTCCTTTCACCAAAAATATCCCATCTGAGGGAACAAAAAATCCAAAACCTCAAAAAACCAAACTAAAATAAAAATCTCAAACCCACTAAAGAAGAACAAACAAATAAATAATAAAAAAAAAACAAACACCAGCCTGCAAAATCCTTAAATTCCTCTTTCATCTGGTGTTACAGGCTAGTCCCCAAGGAAAAAGATATAGTACAAAGTAAATCTGAATTTTGCAGCAGGCTTTTGATCAAATTATTTTGGAACTTCTGGGACATGCTAAAAAATTATAATTTCATTTGTGTTTGTAGCACAGTTCAGCAACCCAGTAGCTCACTATTTTGCCGCCTCTTGGCTTTTTTAGGAGCAATTAGAACAGAACTGGTAATGTACACATGATAACATGATTGTTTATTAAAGAAGAGAGTGGGTTTATTGCTGAAAGGAGAAAAAAAAAAAGTTCTATTTAAATTCTAGCAATCATCACTATCAATATTTTTCAACGGGAAAGCAGCCCAAAATAACAAGTTAAAGGTGACTTCATATTTCCATGGCATCATTATTTCACTTATATTTGTAAAAATGAATGAATGGGTTAACAGAGCTTTCTCTGACTTCACCCAAATTGATTGAACCAATTTCACTGTTTTATTTCCTTGAGCATATAGCCAGTAATTAAGGCATATTTAGCAAAATCCAGACTTTTTATGACTACCAGGAAATATTTTGAGAAAGCAAACTGCACATCCATCATTACCCATAGTTTGGAACCCCTGAGTCAGATTTGATCTTAACTAATTTATTTTAATATAGCACTGTTTGTCAAAAGAGTGGACTTGTTCAAAAGGTAAACTGAAGCTTAGTGAACTCTTTTTATAAATAATCACTTTGAAATTGTCACTTCATTTTGTAGCCTGGTAGTGAGTAACGGCTCTGAATGGGACCCTGCAATGTAAAATACCAAGAATTTAATCTTCTCATTAATTTAGCAGATGCAATAGGCCACAAATGAAATATGGTCAAAACCACCATCTTAAATATACCTGGTGATTAATTGTTCATTATCAGCTATTGTTATCAAATGTGTCTTAGGCGTTATCTGTTATCTACCAGTTACCTTAACTACAAGTGTCTGTTACTTTTTAAAGTAGTATCTCTTGGGAGTAATTTTAATAATTAATCTTCTGTGGAGAGTGAGGATAGGCTTTGGATCTCAATTCACACCACATCCAGATGTCCATCACCTTCTGTCTGCAGCCGGATTTTAATGCCACTATTGTGGAAGGAAGCTTTGGAGGAAGCTTTTCCAGTATTTTTTGATTTAGGTCCTTTCTTGAGGGCTGGAACTACATGACGTTTAAGGTTCTTGCCAACCCAAACCGTTCTATGATCTCAAACAAGCTTTGTAACTTTGCTTTATGTTTTTAAAAACTTGTAGTTTAAAAATAATCACACTTTCAAGACTTCTGTATTTTCTAGGTCTAAATCTGGACATCACAAACTTTATTTAATATGAAAGCCATATGGGGCAAATGTAAGCCCAATAATATAAATTGATTTCTATTCCAAATACTTTCAGAAACCAAGGATAAGGAAGTCAAATATGACGTTTTGCTTTGGGACTTCTTTTTAAGAATCACTGGTGTAACTCAACAGATTTTTTTCTGAAACATACGTATGCCTTTAGATTCTAAATTATACTTCAAAAGTTTGGGAAAATATGCTTTTGACACGTACTCACTAGCAATACAAAACATTGGACTTGGCACTTTCTCTTTAGATATGAAAAGTATAGAGGTCAGGATTTCAAGCAGAAAGGAACTACCAAAAATGCACTTTGCTGATGACAATTAGCATGAAGCATTGCAGATAGCTCTTGTCCAAAATTTCGGGAACAGCTGAAGATGGCTAGATTCTGGGTACAGGTGTGTCACACAGGATGAAATAGATTCCCCTGAGAAGCTTGATTAATTTATTTAGAAGTAGTAACATTTCTCCAGACTATTTCCAGTATAACTACTCAAAGCTAGTGATTAGGCAGAATGCCTTGTATTAGACTTTTTGACGGTCTAGGGTGACACTATGTGGCTAATCTGAGCACTGAAATATAAATTGCAAGTTATCTCTTGGAATAACTCAGAATGAAGTTGACCAGACCTCTTAATTCTAACACTAAACAAGTACAGTTGTAGTAATCAGGTTTTATGAAGATGTCATATGAAGTGATGAACATGTCTGAACTTTTTTTTCTAAACTGTAACCTTTACAGAGCACCAGTTGACATATGCAAAAATGAAAGACATGATCATACTGAAAATATACATACTCTGCCTTAAAAGGGATAGAAGAGTTAGCCTGTGGTCTCATCCTTTTAGCTAGAGAAGTATTTCTAGAATTTCTTTGATATTGTCCTCTTTATCTATCATCAGCTGTGTTTTCTTAAGGCTATTAGGATACAAACAGGAGGCAATATTCCTAGTCAAACATCTTGATCTCTTTCCTGTTAGCTTGAAGTGAATTTTGTTTTCTTTCTCCTATGTCCCTTCCCACCCCCACTCACCCAACAACCGTGCACCCACCACTTCCCCCCCCTCCCTGAAGTGACTGCTTCTGTCATCCATTCACATGGATGTGTACACTCACAATCTAACTCTGCAAATAATAAGAGACCTCTGCATTTGCATGGGTATTTGTCAAACTTCTTTATCCCTACAGTTCATGGCTGGCCTCACACATATCTGGATGGCAGTCTGTTTCAGCTCATACATTTGAATGAAATGTAGCTCATAATTCCTCAGATTTCAACAAATCTTCACCAGTTCTACCCCTTAAAAATGCAAAGTCATCAGCTTGTGAATTTATCCTATGTCCAAGGAAAATTCCTCTTGCGTAAGTCAATGTTGAATGTAGAGTGACAGCCATAAACTTTTAATACACTATATGTATCAGTTCCTGTTTAAAACTTTTCAGCATACACCGGCGTATCATCTGGGAAAACCAGTCTGAGTGTGACATATGGTGGAGCACCCTCCAAGTTAATGTCTCAACCTGACAGATGACCATCACTTTAAATTACCTCATGCCTTATCTTGCTATGAAAGCAACTTTTTTTGTTGCCCTTCAGATGCCATTTTCAGGTATTCACTTCTAAAGTTTAAGGTGAAAAATATTTTGAGCCTGCTACAATGTCCAGCAATCATCTATTGCAGCAATGAGTAAGGATTTTCATAATTCTTTCAAGCAGTTTTGTATAATCTCTATGTAACTAGATCCTGCTCTTTCTTTCTGCTCTCCCTTCCTTCTCTTGACTTAAAAAAAAAAAAACGAATGATGCAATTTGAATAGTGTTTATACTTCTTTGATGCAATTTCTCCAAAGGCTTGCCCAACTCTCTTCCCAATTTGCTATAGTGTTTCCCTCAGAGCCAACAGAAGTCTGTTTTGGATTCAGAGACTGTCCTAAACAACATTGTCTCCCCAGCTGCTGTACATTTCCCATATTTAAACCTACAGCAGGAACAAATCTAGAAATACTTCTGGGAACAGACCTTCCTTGTCCCTTCATAAATTTTTTTGTATACCAACATTTACCACATCCACTGATGTAGTTTGTGACCATGGTTCCCTGCCTCATTATTTTCAGCCTGTCAGAGACTCTTAGCAACCGTAAGGCTCTCCCTCCTTCAGAGCCATGAAAGTTTTGCTAGTTAAGGATCGCCTGAGATGTTGACTCTCGAACTGGATTTCAGCCACTTCCTTAGCTATCGCTGCTTCTATTAGAATTTCTATCCCTAGATCATATAACTACAGCCAAACAGTTCCTTTCCAAACAATTGTTTATCCAAAGGGAATTTCTGCAGTTAGTTTGCTAGATACCTTTCCTTGCATTTATTACATAACTACACAGCAAAAACCAACCTATTTTGGTTGTCTATAACTGTCACTTGAATTTTAATATCAACCCCCCAAAATTAGATCTTAAAAGTTGTAAATTGTCATTATCATATTACAGTCACATTTAAGATGATCTATCTATTTCTAATGGGAGCTGGGGGAGGGGGACAGGTGGATGTAATGCCTAACTTTTTTGAAGTAGCTCTGGTCTCATATATTCTTAGCTGGGCCAAAAAGTTTCTATGTATTTCATTGATCCAAAGCATAATGAAAAGGTAGACCTCCAACATTTATCCCATAAAGCTTAGCCTCCTAAATCTCTGGTGGATGGGGGCTTTCACTAACAGAATAAAAGAGCACCCAAGTGCTATCTTAAAATAGGAAGGATTCTTTCTTTCCAGTTTCCCTTGGTAGTAGCACTTCATTATATTCCCCATTACTGTTCTAGATATTGAGGTAAAGCCTGCATACTAGTCAGTCAACCAGATAGAATTATCATTTAATCCATTTCTGTGGTCAAGGAAATGTACTTTACAGAGCTTGTGGTGTTCAGTTTCGGTCTTCCCCACAGATATTTTTGCTATTGTAAAGATAGATTCAAGTTCTGACACAATTTTTACAAACTCTTGGATTATTGACCTTGAAGCTCTCTGCTGCTGATGATTTGTAAGTCACAGGCCAAGTAAATTGATCAGTTGTCAACGTGTCTTTCAAGTACTGATTATTAGCTTGTTGACAGCCTTTTCTAGATGTTTTCATCTCAACCATCTACATGTACTCACCACTTACACTGATGCTAGGTTTCTCAACGACATTTCAAGTCCTAGAATTAAATATAGCTAATTCAGGCCCTTTTCTGGATGCACTTTCCACTGCATTTTTAGAGCTTCAACTTTAAGCTGTATGTTAGAAGCCCAACAATTCATTTTCCTAAATTTTCACATGCACTATATCCCTAATGAAACAAATAAATATCCTTTTGACTTTTACACTAGGAGGAAGCTGTATTGCCCCTCTGTTTCCTTGTCACAATGGTTTCAGCAAACTATTCCACTGAGCAGGCAGATTGCTTTTTTAAAGGTGTGAAATCAGAAGTGTAGCTGTTAAATGAAGCTTTGACGATCTGCATAACTAGTGGGTAGATTTGAAAGTCTGTGTTTAAAAATATGGTAAGAAAATACAATTAAAAGATGATCAGAAGAGAGCTAGTCAGTTTAAATTATTAGAAATTAATTTAGCCCTGCTGCAGGGCATGCTATTCCCCTACCTTGAAAGAGATCAGAGGAGCTCCTACTCTGAATTTACAGCTACATTTATATGATATTTAGAAACATTGTGATCTTGTACCAGGGACAGAGAGTTCTAGCTATAGGAACCCAATTTACAGTCTCAGGTCCTGTACACTCTGCAAGCCAGTAAAAATTCTCCACCTTGACAAAGATCCTTTGCCTCAACAACTTGCAGCTTCACAAACTTCTTAGTTAATCCTCCTTGTCATGACTCTGAATGTCCTTCTGTCATTTGTCCTATGTGTTCACTGGGGAGTGACAGAATTCCCTCCTCTGGAGTAGTGTTTGTGATGTGTATTATGCTTATCTATGTCACCAGCAGATCGAGTGCTCCTGCAAAAGGTTGTAAATCACATACAGGAATTGCTGGTTATGAAAAAGATTAGTCTTTCAGCTCAGGATAAAAAATAAGTATGGCTTGATGAACTTGTTTGTTTGTTCATCTTTTTTTATCCTCAAGATGGATGATTTAATTAACTTTTTTGTAGAAAGTTTTAAGCATTATTCCTAAAGATTTAAAAATATATTACTCAGTCGTTAGACTATTATCAACATTTTCTGCAGCCATATATAAGCCAAATGGAAAAGAAGAACCCTGACAAAGAAAAAAATTCAAAGAAATTTGTATCACCATCTGCATTGCTATTGAGCATGGCTTGTTCAGTTTTGGGTTTGGTTTTTTTTCTTTAAAACAAACAAACAAACCAACCCCCAAAAAACTCCTGAATGGGTGCATAGTCTAATGCTCTACTTTTTGGTTGTTTTATTTTGATAATCCAACTGGCAAAAACAAAATACCACCCACAGCAGTTTAAAAAAAATAAAACAGGTAAGAAAAAAAAAAAGAAAGCAAAAGCAGTTCTTAGAAACAGTTCTTCCTTTTGATCAGAATAACTTAACATACAAGGGTTTGCTTCAAAGCTCAGCAGTTTTCTGGAAATTACTGAAGCTTCAGGAGAGTGTTTCAAGTGATAATTTGCTATTTTCATGGTGATGTTGGGCTGCACAAAATGATATTAATTAAATTCAGTTCTAATGTCATATGTGTTTTATAGCTGTATTTTAGTCTATGCTGAGGGCATCCAGAATGGGTGAATGAACACAATTTCTATTCTATAAAAATAAAAATAAAAATTCATTTTCAAGTTGAAGTTTAGATGATTTGTAAAGTACTCATTCTCCATACAAAAATGCTGATGTGGTAGAAGTAACTGTTATGTACAGAATATCCATTAAACCCACAGAGGAATAGACAGAAACATTTGCACTTTGGTGACACTATGCAGTAGTGTTGTGCAATGTGGGCTGTAGGGCCTGTGGAGAATTCAAGCCCCACTGGTTTTACACTCTTGCCCTCTATTGTTATTCATAACATGTTCTTAAAATCTGGTTTGTATCAGCTGTATTTTCAACTCAATTTGAATCATATTTCTTATAGCACGGACCATTAACATCGTGGCGAATGCACTCTCCCCCCATTGGTGCCACTATGAGAGGATTGCATCTGCATCATGAACACTGAGTATGGGGAATGGCTGCAGTTATTATCACATGCATTACCATATTTCCTAGATCTTGGAGCATTTGGGCTATGTTATACTGTACATTTACTTAAAAAAAAAAGCAGCTTACAATTTTTAAAATTACATCACTCAGGCATTGTTCTTCCAGTGCAGCATAATGTTTTTCACCTGTGACTCTCAAATACAAAGCACATCCTTTCTATAGCATCAGGAACTAATGCAATCCAAATCTTGAGAGAAAAGTTTCTAAAAGATCCTGTTCTAATTCATATTCTGTCCAGTGTCCCTTCTGTCATCCCTCTGGCAACTGTTTCTCTGTATGGATGTCTTATGAAGGTTAATGGATATTGTACAAATCTGACAGGTTTACAGGCCTTTGCACAACACTGTACATGTACTGTATCAGTTTTTTCAATCACAAACATCTGAGGTTTTGTCAGAGATTGTAGGGACAAGAACAGACCACCATAGTTTTTGGAAATGCAACACTGATATTTATTTTTTCACCTTTCCATATCAAAAAGCACATCTGTATACTCTGACTGGAAATCAGCTATTTTTTATTCAAAAACCTCTTCCTGGCACTTCCCTACATCTGAAACCAAAACATATAAATCTTGTGGTAACACTATAACAATGCAGTGAATTGTTATCTCAGCCTTTAATGCCACAAGAAGCACATAAAAATGAGTTGCATGCTTTCTTAATTTCACTATTATAATCTGAAGAATAGGTTGGAAAAACTAACATAGAAGTTACTCTAATAAATAGAATATGACTTGATAGACTGAAATTGAAAATTTTCACTGCAAAGTGAACTGGAGATCTAATATGTAAGAAGAGGTTCTGAAAAAAAGTCCCCCTTGAAGATAAAACAATACATTACTGTCCTTTCTCTGTATGAACAGATTTAAAAATATTTAACACCAATACTAAACACACTACTGCTTGCATTGTCATTTACTGAGATAGTCAGATTAAGCACAAGAATGAGCAGAAAGAGTCTGATGGAGTTTAGTTTTTCAATTAATTTTAAGATGTATCAGAAGGATCTTTAAAATCTGACTGTTTGCCAGTGGAGATAATTGCTATCTTAATTTTTCCTCCGTATTTAGACAGCAATATATCACAACATTATTTTATGCCTTGCTTATAATCAAGGACCATTCTAAATCACAGAACATGGCTTCTCACCCTGAGATACTCTGTGCTTTCACATCAGTGAAGATATCCTAAAAAGCAAACAACTGTAAAATTAAAAGTACGAGTCCACAGTTCTCCTGCACTCTTAACTGGCCTTCTGCCTATCAAGTGACACACAAAAAGCACAGACAGACACTGATAGTACTAATGAGAAAGCTTATGCTTGGGCAAGCTCACAGCAGGGAAGAGCTGGGTACTGAAATAACTAAAAGATATCTGTGGTCTATCAGTTGAAACGTGAAATAAAGAGTAATAGTAACTGTAAGATATTGAAAGCTAGAGGACAATGTATTAAAATATGGAACACTGTAAATTTTCATTGTTTATAGACATTATTTCACTTATAGTTGTCCCAGTGCAATTTCAAAGCATAACAGATTATAACAGAAGTGAGAAGTAATGACAACAGATGAAATCATATTCCCAAGAATTTAAATAATTTTTGCAGCTCTCTGTAAATGCCTCTCACTATCATCAAAGGTAATCGTGATTTGGGGATGAGAGAATAAAAGCACTGTTTCCTCAGTGGAGCTTTGCTGCAATGTTCTGACCTATAAAAGCCCAAATCTTACCAGGAAGTTTCTGAAGGTCTCTAATGGCAAGCAGCAGAATGAGAGACAAACAAATAAACCCCAAGAATATGATAAGCTATAAATCAAAGCAGGGGTGGGGTGAGTGTCTCGATGCAGTATGCAACACTTACTAACCTGACCAGGAACACCACATTAGTCTCTTCCCAACTTGCTTAGTAACACACTGCAGGTTGAAATAACCTTGAAGGACATCCTTAAACAGAAGTGAATCACTCCACTGAGCCTTTCCAAGAAATTAAATGTTAATGTTGCATGCTCTTTACCACGTTCTCAACTCATTAACTTTACCTTGCCAGCAAATCAGTGCACAGCTGTTCAAGGTGCAGCTTGTCCCGTAACACCACCCCACAGCTGAAATTTTGTCCCCCGGTTCCCCTAGGAGGCATTCTCCCTTGTTAATGCACTTGTTTGCTATTACACCAATGCTTTATCTCCAGTAGCTCACACACCTGCAACTACTACAGCTATTCAAGCTGACCTGCAATTTTGGGTGGTTTTCATGCGCATTAGATCTGCAAATTAGATAAATCTATGATAGTAGTAGAAATAATATAAACCAGAGGTTTGATTCTAATAATTGCTTAGATACGTTATACTTTCTGGTTACCTAGTACTTCTGCAAAATAGGACTTTAAAAGATTTCCTTTTGCACCTGCTGTTTTTATCAGCTTGCAAATGGCAGCAGCCTCTCTCATCACAAGTTTTCAAACACTTCTGCTTTTCAGCTTAGCTTGCAATTGAGCTTCAGACACTTAAAGTTTCTAAAAGATGTTAGCTACTTTTTTAAAAAAAATAACTTCTTTTTCTGTATTGAAATTATCTTAACTGGTGTTTGAGCTTTAGTGCCTTTCAAATAACACAAGACTTTTTGAGAAGGCCATTGTTTAAACCAGAGGAAAAATCTGCTTTTCAATTTTGCAAGCTTAATAACCATAGTAAAAGTGTATGTGTTGTAAGGGAGGACAAGTGCTGTAGTTTCATTCTTAGTTTGGTATGATTGCTTGAAAATACTCTTTGAAATAATAAACTCTGTGAAGATGCTATTAAAAGATACCTCTCAGAAATGAAAGACTTTATTTTGAATTTTTTTTTCTTTTAAAATTTTCTTTTAAAGTCATTTATTTTTCAAATAAGCATACAGAGTTTCAATTTTTAATTTTAAGAAAACTTGCATATTATTTTAGGAACCTTGTAACTATTTACTAACATTTTCTTAACAGACATTTTCAAAGCTCATTTTCACAGGGCCATAGTAATGAGAAAAAATGGAGAACGTTATAATGACTTTTCTGCCATTCTGACACCATTTAGTTGCAGCCTCGGGAACAAACGCAATATTTTGTTAAAGCTGCTACCATGGCAAAAGCAGGGTTTCTTCCCCCTCCTTTGTGATAATGTCCCCAAAGTCTTAGCATCAAAAGTAGATGTTTTCTGAGACCCAGAAAATGTGATGACTAGTTGCTATTTCCTAAAACCAGGGTCAATTTTCTTGTACTTTGATAACACTTTTTGAATGATGTTTTGTGGAACTGATTTATAAGGAAAGATAGATCATTCAGCATGAGGTTTAACTACCTGAGTTCCCAACCAAATCTCAGATTGCTGGGGAACCTGGAGAATTATTCTTTTGAATTTTTCTATAGACATGGTTTGTACAATGCAACATGTGCATTACATGAAGTACTGAATAAAGGAATCTCAAGTTGTAAGTACAGTTTCATCCCATTTCAGGATTCAAGAATACAACTGAACACTTAAGTATGGCAAGACTGCTGGGGTTCTCCATTGATAAAGAATGTAAACCTTAAGCAAATATTTTACTGACTACAACTAGGCAGCAAAGTATTCCTCTGATGTGAGGTAATTTCAAGTTATATCAGAAGAGTTGTATCAGCTATTATTTTTAGTGTCTGGTGTTTGGAGGGATGGCAGATTTCCACTCTGCTCTACTAGCTCACTATTAGCATAAGGATGCTCTGCCAGTGGCATGTCATAGATAAGCCTGCAAATTTTGAGGAACAAAATGTACTGGCAGCATCAGATGGAACACTGAGGAGACAAAATGCCTTATTATTAGGTAATACTTCTATCCTTAAACATGAAAATGAAAAGAAACGCAACTGAATCATCCCTACAGCATACTGAACCAATGCATTTTTTGTGTTTTCTCATACAGTGAAAATACAATTTATATCCAGGAGTCATGGGATATAGGAGACTATTGACATTAATAGAAGAAAATAGGTAAAAAGATGTATTTCACTATGACCATTTTTATCACCTTAGGCTTACAGGTAATAGCACAGAAAATGAAATAGAAAAATACTGAAAATATCCCAATCCCTCACAAGCAGAGAAAATAGGATAATAAACCCAACTAGATGTTATTTTAATTCTTGCTCGTAGATTAAACTCCACCAAAAAGGTCCATATATAATCAGAAACAGCTTCCCTGGATACATCCAATATTGTACATCCTACAGCTCTGTAAAGAGGTCAGCCTTCCCAGCCTTGCTCATATTTCCAGCAAGAATGTCCATTAATGTGAAGCGTGATGGTATTTTGTTAGATGTAAGCATCTGCCTGGCAGAAAATCATCTTGCTTTACAGCAGCCACTGAGCAGATGCTAGTGACTCTGCATTTTTGCTTCTGAAACTGTAATTTTCTCTGACAGGCTTGGTACCTCAGTGGCAAGACAGAAAGGCAGTCAAAAGCACCGAATATTCTGTCTTTGGGGGATGGGGAGCTCCAGAGGAGTCTGTTCAATTCCATTTGTTGTAGGCTTGGTAGAACAGTCATTTTAATCTGAAATAATTCTGGCTTGATTCTCTGATCAGTTGTTGCTGCTTCTCTGCCCCAGCACTAGCCCCCACCAAATCATATGGTGAGACAGCCATGGGACTGGCTAGAAAGCAACTGAAATCATCCAGCAACAATTAAAAAAAGGTAGATAAACAATCTGTTCCAGACCATGTAACTACATAAACACTGGGGCGGCACATAAGGGAGTGCACTGAGTTTTTTGGTGGAATAGCAAATTTATCATATGTAGCTAGGTAATAGTGTTAGGCACTTGACATGTTCATTTGTGACAGAAAGCATACTATTTGATTCAGTTACTTCCCAAATGCAAAGCACTATTCATGCACACAGTAGACAGGTAGCCATAGTCTGTAACTCCTATAATCTTTGTCTTTTATAAAGGAATTCCAAACACGAGACAAATTAACAATTATAATTAATTATACCTATGCAAAGTAAGCATAAGAAGGCTTTCCTAGTTGACTTGCATTGATGAGAGAAAGTACTGGTAACTTATTCATGTGATTTGTCGTCAAATAATGTTTATCTCCTTCTCTTTAATCTTTTTAGAAAATAATTTCAAATGCCTCTTGCAAAACTTGAATCTGAAATAATTTGAAATAACCACTGATAAAAACACTAGGAGGCTTTAGAAATATATATAGGGTCATCTTAAACAAATGCCACATATGTTCTGTAAAGTTTTTTCAAGAAAGCTAGATAACTTCTTTTTCTAATTTTCATAATCTCAGACTACCTTGTAAAAACTAAAGTAATTTCACTGGCTGTGCACCAACACCGCTTACACCAGCTCAGCTCCTCACGATTCTTAAATGCACACATACAAGGGGTAGGGGGAGGTGCTTTATAAATTGCTTGAAAAGTGAACAAATACATCACAGACAGAGTAAGTACATTCCCTTACTTGGAATTTAACACTTCAACTGGTACCAGGCAAACATGGTATCACAGACACACGGATAATCAAAGTTTATTTGAACATATGGGAGAAAATGTTATAAATATTTCCTTTGTGCTCTTCAAAAGTCTGCCTTTTCTAATAAATAAGTTGTTTAATCATATTTCTATTCAGTTTCCACCAGTTTAGCCCATGATATGCTTGTTAATCCCTGTTTGTAAAAAGAAAAACAAAATCAGACACTTTTCTGCCTTATTTAGTACCTCATATAAATGTGTTGGTGACAAATTGAGCATTATCTAAACAGATTTAATGTACTGATAAAATTAGAGATATGGATTTCTAGTTTATAATCCACTTTACATGTGGACAGTAGTCCTGATCTGGATCATGAATCAATTTTATTACGTATATTATTATGTTTTATTATGTCAGTCATACACTGTTGCAGGAATACAAACTTAAATAGGAAATGTCTATTGCTCACTTTTTTGTGGTTCCTCAAAAGCAACTATAATAATACTGTAATACCAACAAGACATTTGAAATGTTGAACCCTGGTCCTCTCACCACCTGTGTGAGTTGTGCACTACTACAGCGAAGTAAAACCAATATTACAAATTGTGTCATTTATTTTTGTATCATAGAATAAAAGAAAAAAACAAGTTGGAAGGTGGTGCTGGAGATCATCTACTTCTGGTCAACCTCCATGTCAGTCAGAGGTCAGGTTTGGGGTAACAGCTGAGTAAGAATTTTGTAAACCAGTGTTTCCCAGCTAGAGGTCTAGACGTCACTTTGGGAACCTCAGCCGACTCAGGAATTTAGATTTTAGTTGGAAAAGGCTGGTAGACAGAGAATACTATTTGAGTATTTCTTGTATTAGAACTCAATCCCTAGGACCAAGCCAATAATAAGCAATTAGTATTCCATTTCAGTATATAGTAAACTAGACATGCACTTGCATTTTCTTCCTCTTTCTCCCTGCTTTTCTCTTTTTGCCTCCCCTTCATCCACAATTTATGAACTAGTTCCCCCCGTCCAGATCAGTAGGTATCTCATGACAAATACGTACAGTGGCATTTAGAATAACATCAGCACACATGATCAACACCTGGTTTTTCTATCTAGGCATGCGTGAGTACCCTCATTGTCTTCTTAGCAGTATATTTAGTGTATGGATAAAAGAATAGCAAGAATAAAGCCTGGCATTCTTAGTTTGAATCAGGATCTCAGTTCTGCATCTTCAATTTGATGCAAAGAATAGGAAGTTAGTGTAATGGGCAACTTCATTCCTGTTATTCTTCTAATTTTACAGGTACAACTCACATCCATGCAGTGCTAAGAAAGTATTTCACAAACACACTTCAAAAGGTACAACTCATAAAATCGATCTCTGAAGCTGACAGAAGCTTAACATACACAGTGCTTAAAACGCACTGAACAATCCCAGTCCTCTTTCTTACTAACACCTCAACACATGCATACTTTTTTGCAGAGATTAAGTGTCCTGCTAAAGGCACTGGGACTAAGGCTGTAAATAAAGTTATGTGTGCAGGAAGGAGGTAAATGAGTGGCAGAGAATTAAAAGTATTTTCAGATTATTACCTAGACTGCGCTCACAAAATCAAAGCAGAAAAACAGTTTAATTCCAAAGTAGTTGTAAACTCAATTAATCCAAGAAATCTGCTAGTAACTGTTTTCTGTAGGGCTTTTGCTGAATTTTGTGATGATACTCTTTTATTTATTGGTAACTTTTCTCCCAATGTAGTACAATTTCATTGTAGTTTTGGCAGGCAAAAAATATTTCTTGTCATACAGAATTTGTGAGTAAAAGCTCAACATCTAGGTGAGAAGATAGGAAAATCTGTAATTAAATGCATTTTACCCTTAAAACTGTGATTATATGGTAGCTATTCACCTCACACCTTGTATGAGAAGTTCAACCCGGTATGTCCGGCCAACTTCTAAACCTTGCTATTGCTAGGGCAATACTACAGTGTGACCACAGCTCGTATTGCAGTTTGTGGAACAACTGCATTAGTCTAAGCTGAAAAAAAAAAAAAAGATGGGGGACTTCTGGGCCGAGGGCCTGGGCACCAGAATGGGAATTCCCTCATTTTTCCCTGGCACTGCATATGCACAGTTTTTAAGGTCTTAACTGGCAGGACATGAGTCCTGGACTGAAGTCCCCAGCTCTAGAAAGCTTCAGTGATCATTTTGGTGATTATGACAGAGAGGGAGATGAAGAAACTACATATAAATGGAGGGAAGTGTCATATAGGCGAAATTGATAGGAAAACAGACTTTGGTATCTGTTGGTTTTAGGACCAAGATTAAACTGTTTCATATGCAAATTAACACGGGCTCCATCCTTATTCTGTCCTTTGTAATTTCAGCCAACTTCACTGCAGCACTGACATCAGCCGTTCCAACCACCGTGCACCACCACAACATGGACCCAGTTACCTTTCCAGGCGTGACACAGACCCAGAGCCGGGCAGGAATTAAAAGCACTCTGCACTGATTCATCGCCTGGCTGTAAGGAAAATGTAACCACTGACCGGTGAGCTGGCTTCTTACTGCCAATCCAGGAGATTTACATAAACCTTGACATTAAAATATCCCAGTGGGAATCCAGAGTTAGGTCTAATGACTTCAGGTGAAAATAAAGAAAGCTGTTACGTTCAGACCATTATTGTTCATGCTGCTTTGTGAATTTATTTCTTTAAATTTTCCACTTGTGCTCCTGCCAAGAGAGATCTATTAGACAGAAAGCAGCAAGAGTAAAACTTTATCATTTTGTTTCAAACTATAAAATAATTTACATCACATATTTTACTTACTTTTGTCTTTTTTTTTTTTTTTTTGAAACCACAAACATTCCAGCATCACACTGTAGGAATAAGAATAACAATAGAAAGCATAACCTTTTGCATAGTATTAAATGAACAGACAGAGTAAGTTCTTTATTTACAATTATTTTCTAGATAAAAAAATTCATAAAAACAGATGAATGAACATATATTAATAACCCCTAGTGGGATGGATTGCCAATGTACCACTGTATTGTTGTCCACAAATCTCATGCTGCTAAGTACAGTACGTAGAGAGCGAGCATTTATATATTGCAGGGAATTTTAACAAACTGATCATTTTGGGTTTTGATCCATTGTTCCCATCACAGAGAGGTCAAGCAATAAAAGAAAGGAATTGTGATGCACGACTTGTAGTTGAAAGGTCATAGCTATTCTGTTTTTTTTTTTAAAAAAAAAAAGTCTATCATTTATCAT